GAGCGAGCTGCCCTTGTCAGTGGCCGGGCGGTAAGGCAGCTGCTGCGTTCCCTCTTCCCCGTCGCGGGGAAATGAAACAAATTAGTGTTCGTGCGTTAAATCCCTTTAAAATCAAATCCCGCGACTGCCGTCTCTCAGTTTGCTATATTTAAACCGGCTGTAAGATTGTTTAAATGCATCTCGTGGACAGTTTACAATGCGAATTGTTTCCTGCCTTAAAAAAAAAAAAAAAAAGCAGCCGTGGTTTTAAGATATCTGGCAGGTTTATTACAATGAAATGTCACATTCCTCAAACAAGTCATCAAAAGAACAGTTTTTAGCGGTGACTGGTTTCCAGCATTCACTGTTCAGAAATGTTGCGGAGTGTGATTTTGTTTTAAATAGAATAAACAGAAAAAGCCTGGGCATTTGATCTGGCTGGCACTCCTGGGTGCTCCGAGCAGGATCCCCGCGACCTGGCGGAGGTCCTGAGGCTTCGCCCTTGGCGCTGCCGCGCGTGGGCCCGCGCAGGTTGCTGCCCCGAGCTGCTCTCCGTTGGGTATCTAAATCAGCCATTGTGAATGCCCCCTGTAAAAATGCCCCCTCCCTCTCACTTGGTAGTGTAGAAAGTGGTTTCACTGAACACTGTGTAATATATATCAAAATGTGTGTTGGGGGGGTATCAGAAATGGGCTAAACGTGCTAAGAACAGCGTGTTCAGAATTGTGCTCCCATGTGATGGTCTTGTAAACTTGTAAGCGTTGTTTTTTCTGTGAATGTATCTTAACATTTTTGGTGTTTTAATTTGTTCTCATCTTTTTTTTCTTTTTTTTTTTTTTCTTCCCTACTCAGCTCTTGCCCCTGTTCTTTGCCTCTGGTTTTGTTGGTGAGGATATCACAGTGATGTCTGCATTCAACCTGCTGCATTTGGTGACAAAGAGCCAGCCAGTGGCCCTGCGAGCCTGTGGGCTTCCCTCAGGTTGAATGGGTGCTGCTTGTTGTGTCATGCGTGATGAAGGCCCTTTTAGGAATGGTGTCTCTGCTGCAGGAAACGATGTGCTATGGGTTGCTCTGGTTTGTTCAAATTTTCCTTTGAACCAGAAATTTGTTTGCCTTTTGTTTTTTGTAAAAGTCACTGGTTTGAGTGAGGGTTTTCGTAACTGAGATTTTAGGATGCTTGGAAATGCTGTCTGACTTCCTTGTTCAACATATTCTCTCTTAAATTTTATATTATTTTCCTCATTCTTGGCAAAAACTGTGGAATTAAACTGAAAATAATTTATTAAATGCCATTTGTATTTTTTAAAAAAGATGCATAAAAGAATTTAGCATTTCAATTGCTCTTAAATGATAGGACTTAAAAGTATTTTCCAAAATCTTTAGCTGTATACTATAGTTACACTCCATGTGTCCCTTTTTATGTTTTTATTGTAAGTCAAATATGTTATACTGAAAATTATGTACAAAAAGTGTGGAGAATTTAAAACTTAATTCTTTTATTTCTTTGACAGCATATTCTTTAATTACGTGACACTTCTGAAAAATAAATGAATGGAGACATGCCATTTAATACCAAGATGCAGCTGCACTTTCCATGTAAGGTCCACATTCAGCTTTTGGGTCTGTGGAGGGTGCCATAAGGCCCCATCCCCATGAATTTGCTATGTCATGAAAACCTTGAATTTAAGTATTTTGCTTTTCACTTAAACAGTGACAGTATCTGTAATGTCTGCATAATGATGTCGGTGTACATGGTTATCTAGGAGAAAATAAAAGCTGCACTGAGCTAATTTTTAACGTTACTAGGAATTTTCTTGACACCCAAATAAAAAAAAGATACAATCTTGGCTCATTAGTATTTGAAGCATCAAAAAAGAACCAGCTTTTCCATTTATGCTGCGCTCACAACTGGTCCATAAGGGTGCAAAATGTTACGAGCGCTTTTTCACAGAGCTGGACTGAACAAGCGTATGGAGATGATGTTTTAAAGATCGTTTTCAGTGATAAGACATCAGTTTTCAAGCTGATGGATTTTTCTGAAGCTGATTACGCTGTATTTGAACTAAATCTGAGTCTAATTTTTGCAGCATTTGTGTTGTGTTTCCCCCCACATGTGCACAAAACTCTCATTAACCTAGATAGGAGCTGCAAACACATATTGAGGAAGAGGGAGAATAGCCCACATTGTGTCAGCCTGACCTTGGTTTCCTGTTATATTTGCTGCTGAGCCAGATTTAAAATCCTAAAAATATAGGATAAGCAAATTTCCTTAGCCCTCACTGTGCACCTTTTGATGCACGTTCATATTGCTGGTGTCTACCTTAAAATGGGGGCATTCTGTCTTCCGGCCATTTTGTTCCTGCTCTGAAAAGGAGATCTCAAAGTTGGTCAGCTAGAAACACAGCCCGTGGGAGGTTTTGCTGTTGGGTATCTGTTCGCAAAGCATTACATTAGCTATTTTGTCAAATCGTTTTTCTGGCGTAATCCAGTAGTCACATTTTGGAATAAAAAGCTCATAACATTACTGTTTATTCCTGCCCCTTTGATCCATAACTGTGCAAACAGTAAGAGATGGAGTTCCACTGACAGGCCACTTTATAGATACATACATATATAGAGAGATATTTATATATAATAAACCCAAATGCATCTGCTAACAGTGGAATAATATACAATCACATATCTCACGTATTTTAAGAGTAATCTGAATTTCCCAGATGCTAATAAATTAACGTAGGCTTGCTTTGCCTTTGGTTTGGGTTTTTGTGTATGGTGTATTGACAGGTTGCAAGTAAATGGTATATATAGCATGTATCGAATTAAACATGGGAACGAGAGCTAGAGCCAACATCTGCCTAAATGCCACGGTGCACTGTGACTTTAACTTTTGAATATGAATAGAACGCGCTGAGTTCTCGTGACTTTGTTACAACATTACGCTTTGAATTAGTACTTTTCCCACCACCCATTTCTGTGCAAATTGCAGCCATGCGACCGTACCACCGTGCTGTGTGCCCACCGGATCTGGAATGGTGTGGAGTTTGGTCTTCTGGTTGAGTGGCAAATTCAATACAGAAGGAGACTTTCTAACCTTCTGGAACCGCTGCCTGCTCAGCGTAAGAGAGCAAAGTGCTGGCAGAGCTGTAAATTGGGCTTTCAAACACAGTTTTAAACTTCACACAGTTAAATATTGGCAGGGCAAAGGCTTGAATGAAAGTATTTCAATTTTTATGCTTGGAATGGTACCTCTGTCCTTCCTGTAAGCAAAAAGTAATACAAAGTAATGTTTACTTTGTATTTAGTATAAAGTCATAGTTGTAGATCAGAAGCAAGTGAATTTTTTTTTTTCCACAACGTTAAATGAATGAAATAATGCTAGGAAGTGTCTTAGAACAGGGATGACCTTCTGTCTCTTCTTTGAAACACTATTTTGTAAGCATGTGTGAGTTACGCTGGATTATTCATTCGTAAAGTGAATTAACAGTTGTGCTAGTGAAGTGTTTTTATTTCCTCTTTTTCTATTTGTATACTAGCGCCTGGACCTATTCTTCCAACTTGTATTTCAAAAATATTTTTTGTCTGAAGTTAGGACTAAATGTTTCAGTGTGTGCAAACCTAGTGCATGGTTTGCCCGTAACGTCTCTTAGAGCCGACACGGTAAAGTCGGAGCCCGAGAGGCGCTCCCAGTAGATGGCACTAAGCATATGCTGTTTAGCACGGCTAGCACTATATGAAAAGCTTCCCATTTAGGAGTCATTCATACATAAAGCACGCCCTGAGATCATATGAACATTTACTGGTATTTTAAGAACAGCGGGAGCACCATCTACGCTTGTACGCAAACTACACTGACATTGGTTCAAGGTTTCTTCATTTCCAGTAATGATTACAGCTCTGGTGTGTCTGTTGTGGGATGTAGAAGTGGTGCACCTTGAGCCCGCTTTATTAGAGTTGAATGCTCTGAATTTCTTTGAAAACATAGGATGCACTCAGCACCTGCCAGGATTTAGTTCACAGAAATTAAATCTTAAAAAAAAAAAACAACCCCAAAACCACAACAAAACCACCCAAAACTTTTAATGTAAAAACTACTTCAGCTGCTTTAGTGCATACCAGCGAGTAACTGATACAAATAATGATTATGCAGATTCCATGTACATATGTTTTCTGTAGCAGACCACCAAGCTATAAAGTAAAAAGATAGCTTATTTTGCTTTGCTGTGTCTTTTAATTATTATGGGTTCTTACTTCTTAAAAATTTCCTTTATTTCTTTAACACTTTGAATGTTGTGCTGCTTACATCACATTTTTTGCATGAAATAATTTGGCTTTTCCTCTCCTGTAGATCAAAGAAAATTATGGTGCTTGTAAAATTAAGTAAAAATAATGATGAAGAATTTACAGGGGTAGACAGTATTTTTTTCTGTACGAAATAATAAAGTTCTAGATAATATTAAATTGTTGTGAAGTGTTTAATTACTAAAGTAACTACTAGTAGGAAACCATACTTTTCTAGGGTTAGATTAAACTACAATACATCTGTATGAAGATGGTGCTGGGCATATGGTGTAAGTCTTTATTAAGTAAATGTCTATAGTATAGTTTCTCATAACTTGTTTTGTTAATTCCAAGTTTCAGTATAATGTCTTTCCATAAAATTGAAATGAATAATTAGTGGACAAAAAGTTACTGAGTCTCAAAATTGGATTTTTGGTAGTAATCTGTTAACATAAATGATTACTTTTAGAGCAGATCTTGCAAACAGTTACATACATGAGTTATTCATATGCATTTGTTCCTCTGAACTCTCAAACTGCTCATGTCAGTGGTATTATCTGCGTGCGTAGTGTTTGCCAGATCTGGCTTGAACAGCAAAAAGTCTAGAAAAGACCTTAGTCTCGTGTGTTCAAAATATAGTAGTTGCTGTCAAACTTTGTGTAACTTATGTATGTCTAAACGTTTCGTATTGTATGTTCAGAGATACAATTTCCATAATGTATGTTACAACTTTCCCATAGCTTTCCATAATGTGTGTCAGCAAAGATGTACTGTTACAGATGTCTCTTCACACAGTCTGAAGGAAAATAAAAGTAAGACTGATATGTTGTATAACAAACACCACCAGTATGGCTATGGTTGAGTTTGTGTCAGTGTTTTCAGTATAAATCCCTATTTTCTGGAGTTCATATCTTGAACGTAAAAGTTTGCTCTGGGTTGAAATGTGTCATATGAGGTCTCGTTTGGATGTATGTATGCCTCAGAACTGATTGGGGGGCCAAAACTTAAAACTCGCTTCTGTGAAGCTAAATTAAAAAGAAAAAGCAAATATCGGTTTGGAACAAAAATATATTTTTAAACTTAAAATACAGTCTTACAAATTACATAGTTTACTACTTCCCAGAAGTTATGAGGTATTTGCTAAATGCTTGAAAGGAGTCTTGAAAATGTGTGAGCATGATAGTAAATAGCCTGTGAAACTGTTCATGTGCCATATAAATGTCTGTGTATGTCTGCCTCTTAGTCATATGATAGTAGAATGCTGCATTATCATAACAGAGTATATAACATTATTGTATTTTTGGAACGGCTTGAAAATGAGTTTTAAAAATCACCTTTGTATAGCTGTCTTAATAGGAGTACATTCATTGCTGTGTTTGCTTAAAAAATTACCCTATATTGACAAATGTTTATTTTCTCCAATAGTGTTCAGTCTAGAATATCTTATTTAATACTGTTTAGCATGAAATTTATTTGTAGATATCTCACTGGGAGTAATGCTGTTATTGTGCCTGATGCTTGCAAAACTTGGGATCATAAAGATGACCAGAAACCCTTTGTTAACGTACCCTTTTTGTTTGCACCCTGGATTTGCATCCCATTTTGTCCCCCTTTTTAGCTCCTGGTTCTGGTGGGGTTTGCACTGTCTCTCATCTGCTTGACAGGCAGAAGGCGCTCGTCCCTGCGTCCTCTGAGTGGGGG